CAAATTTATGTTAGGAGCTTTAATTAATTAATTAATTAATTACTGTTATAATCTACCATTAGTCCCTAATTCAGTTTACTTTTGGCACACAAATGAGTGCTAAACCGCTAATTATTTATATTGATGGAAAATGGCAGACTCGTGCAACATTTTTATATTAACTGATGAATTAAATAAGTTAACCTGATATTATTACACAAACCCTAAACATAAAAGGGGAATAAATAATATCTGATTGTGAATTCATTATTTTTCTATGAATTACTGTGTAAGACAACCTAATCGTTAAACTGGTCGGCCTGTCATATCATTTGAATAAAATCGTATACTTATACCATCAAACGTCTTTTATATATTTGTTATTATTATTATTATTATTATTATTATTATTATTATTATTATTTTATTTTATTTATTTTTATTTTTTTTGGTAATGGTTGGCAGCCTAATCGGTTTATTTGTTTTTCATAGTACAGCATTTTGCAATAAAAGTTTTAAAAAGTGTATGTCGGCCTGATTATTGTGTGAAACAACTTAAACCGTTAGACAAATAGACTCTTTATGCAAAATAAACAAAAGAGCTGTAACAAAAAGTAGAGACTGCATAGAGACATTTAAACAAGCACATTGTGTGCTCCATGAGTACCACAGAGAACACAGTCAAGAGGCCAACTGATCCCCGCTTGGATCCACCGGATTTGCACACCAACGAATTTCCCAGGCCCCATGAAGTGTACTCGGAAAATCCACACCCCAACACGACCTCCAAAAAACGTCGTTCGTTGGGTTTCAGTGACCGCCTTATGGAAGACTCGCACCAGCCGAACGCTACAACTCCCGCTCGCCCTGTGTCTCCTAAATTGAGTTTCCGAGATCTACTGAATAAGAACAGGCCTCATGTGAGGTTAAATCCAGAAGGTGTGGAGGAGAATACCCCGGGGGATGGCATCACGGTCAGGGGCGTAGCCAGGATTAAATGTTTACCTGGGCTATAATTATTTTAATCGAATATGAAAATATTTTCGAACCGTCGATCAATGGTTTGGTTAACCGTTGACAATAGTTCCTATTACAATTTGAAAGTTCGGTAACATATTGCAAAGTGTCAGTCGTCTGAAGGTTTAGTTATTGAATAGAAAAAAAAATTGAAAATTTTGCGGAGTGAAAAAAAAAAAATCAAAGCTTTATGATTTTCCACATCTCAAATAAATAAATGGTGAAAAACTGTTTGAACCGCCATTTTTTTGGAAAACAAATGCTTTTTAAAAAATTAGATAGTTTCTAAAGAATTTTTTAACTTTTAACACTAGAATATTAATTGAAAATTGATGGTTCGAATCGCAAAAGCAGCAGTTCAAATCGAACTGTGACAATAAGGGTGTGTTTGGTAAAACTAGCTGATAAGCTAGCTGATAGCTGATAAGCTAGCTTATAGCTTATATGTGATAAGCTAGCTTATAGCTTATAGCTTATGACTTATAGCTTATAAGCTAGCTTATATGATAAAAGTGTTTGGTAAAAGTAGCTTATAAGCTAGCTGAAATAAAAAATTCAACGAGCTTATTTTGAAACGCTACCTAAACAAGCTTATCAAATAAGCTCGGGCTTTTTAAATAAGCTCGTCCTACCAAACAGTGCTTATTTAATACAGGAAGCTTATAAACTAATCAAATAAGCTATAAACTAGCTTATATCTCATACCAAACATACCCTAATTGTTGGTTCAACAACTACGAAGCGCCAATAGCTGATTATTATTACCATTTCATATTTATAACCAAGCGTAATCGGTTGTTTTGTATATTTTGATCATAAACATTTAGATTTCATCAATTTGAATCTAACAAATGGTATTGGTATTTAAATGGGTACAAGAGAAAAATTAAAAATTAAAAACAAAATCAGAAGAGAAACGATCCAACCTACTGGTACAAAAAAGGTAGATCTTTCAACACATAAATACTAAAGTAAAAATAAGTTTACTTACATATCATAACCAAAGTCTTAAAGACTCTATATCACTCTTAATTATATTTTTTTTTTTAAGCAACAAGACAGCTTAATATATATTAGTAGCCTATATAATTTAAAAAACATCCTTTCATATCAATAGTTGTTATCAATAGTTAGAAAGTAGGAGAGAGAAAAATTTATTCAGGCAAATAAAAAAAAAAGTAAAAAGAAAAAAACCATCAAAATCGGTATTCTCGGAATATTATTTCAGACTTTTTATCTGAAAAAGTTGATTGGAGTTATTTATGGGGTTCCAATTATTTGGCCACACTATTTTCAACGAGAATTAAAAATAAAATGAGATTATATAGGTGGTTGTTTGAAAATCAGCCTGGGCTACAACCCGGGCAGCGTCATAAGTGCCTCCGCCCCTGATCACGGTTATACGGGAGGGCCGATCAGGGAAAATCCTTTTCTCCGACCCCTTCTGGGAATCTCTGCTGAAAGACTGGAAACACGCAGTGGTGGTGAGACTCTTAGGCCACTCCGTCTCCCCCTTGACGATGCATAACCGGCTATCATCTCTGTGGCCTTCGATTCGTGGGAGCCCGATGATGGACTTGGCGAATGGATACTACGTGGTCCGCTTTGACACACATGAGGAACAAGTAATGGCCTTAACTGACGGTCCATGGGTGATTGCCGATCATTATCTCCACGTCCAACCTTGGACGGTACATTTTGACGCTAGTGACCGGAGAATACAGTCAGTTGTAGCTTGGGTCCGTCTGCCAGGACTCCCCGTGCAATTTTATAACAACCAGGTTTTCCGCTCGATTGGTCAGATAGTAGGGGAGGTCGTAAAAATTGATTACCAAACAGCGGCTAGAATTCGAGGGAAATATGCTCGTATGGCATGCCTGTTGGATCTTACCCAACCACTCGTTTCGGACTTTGAAATTGGCGGTAGGATTCAAAGGGTTGAATATGAAAGTCTCCCGAAAATTTGCTTCAAGTGTGGAATGTACGGTCACGCAGAGACAATGTGCCCAACGTCAGGTGAGTCTAATGAGGATCGGCGTAAGGGCCCCTCGGAACCCAGATGGACTTCTGACGGCAGGGAGAGTTTGGAGCATTCGAACCCGAATCAACCTGTGACACAAACGGGTCCGGGGCCTTGGATGGTGGCACAAAAACGGACAAGGTCGTATACTCGGGCATCAAAACCGCCTATGGAGTCTTCTATTAAACTTAAAGGAGGGAGTTCGGGATCAGGATCGCGTTTTCTCTCTCTAGCAGTGGAAGAGGAAGGAGACAAAGTCGAGCAGTCCGGGGGAAGCATGAAGGGAGATTGGGCGTTTATTGCACAAGCAGTCCAAAAGGAAACTGAGCGTGGACCAAAAGATTGGAGGCTCAAGGGGAAAGATAAAGGTAAAGCAACATCAACTCAGGTCGTGGGATCTGGTGTCGGTGCTTTGAACGGATCAAAAGGGGAGAATATGACCAACGGTAACTTCCAAGGGGAGAGTAGAATTATGGAGCGAGAGCGTGTGAAGAGGGGAGAAAAGTACCAAGAACAGAAAAGTCAAAGCTTCGGTGAGGATGATTTAGTCATGATCAACGCTCATACCAACCTAGACTCCTCACGACACCAAGTCGTACAATTTGTCAGTGCCTCTTCGCTGGAGCATGCAATGGTGGTCGACTCGCAGCTGTCAGCTCGAACTACCATATCCATACAGGAAGAACCCCCGGATGATGTGTCCACACATGAAAATGAAAATGGGCACGTTACGAGTATGGTTGAAGACGATAGAAATATGGCTTTGTTTCAAGAAGCCCAGGTTCGCTTGGATGCCTAGGCCTGCCTGCCTCCTTATTGTATTCTTTATGAATTATCTAGCTTGGAATGTGCAAGGGGCGGGCTCACGTAGGTTTAAACGAGCCTTCTCTACAGCCGTTAATTTTCATCGTCCGGATATTGTGGCACTCTTCGAACCAAAGATCAGTGGTGCGAATGCAGATAGGTTTGTTCGACATTCGGGATTTTCTCGCTCATTCAGAGTGGAGGCTTCCGGCTTCTCGGGAGGCATATGGGTCCTATGGAAAGAGAACATCGATGTGGCCATCCTACAATGCCACAAGCAATTTATTCATCTTCATGCTCGGATTGATGACAACGAATCCTTAATCACATTTATCTATGCTTCACCGAATCCGAGGGGTAGGAGAGTTCTGTGGAGGTGCCTACAGGACTTGGCTTCATCCGTTAGCGGCCCCTGGCTCATTGGGGGAGACTTTAACTGTATTTTGAGATCCTCGGAGGCTACAGGAGGCTCACCCAACGGTGGGAAAGTTTGTAGTTCTTTCACGGATTGGATATATGAAAATTGTTTGCATGAATTAAAGACTGATGGGACCAAATTCACTTGGAGTAGAAGGGACCTGTCCAAGAAACTCGATAGGTTCCTTTGCAATGATTTGTGGCTCGACAAGTTCCCAGAGGCTTTCGTGCTTCATGCTCCACGTGTACAGTCTGATCACAACCCACTGGTGGTTCAGTGCAACGATGGTCTACGTCTATCGCAAGGGGTGAAGCCCTTTCGCTTCCTAGCCTCGTGGCTTTTGCATGACGATTTTAAGGAAGTAGTGGCCAGGTGTTGGAAAGAGAACAATTTTGTTGAGGCGTCTACTTCTTTCTCCAACGAGGCAAAGGAATGGAATTGTCGTGTGTTTGGTAACATTTTTGCAAAAAAGAAAACATTACTAGCTCGCATTGGAGGTATCCAACGTTCGCTTCAATACCGTCGATCTAACTGGCTATCCCAGTTGGAAATCAAATTGAAGGCCGAGCTAGAAGATATTCTCCTTCAAGAGGAAGTTCTTATGATCCAAAAATCGAGACGCGATTGGGCCCTCTTTGGAGACCGGAATACCGCCTTTTATCACAAACAAGTCAAAGCTCGGCGGCGGTATAATAGAATTGTCGCCCTCAAGGACTCCCAACAGAACTTGATAACGGACCAGGAGGAGCTGGAAAATATGGCTGTTTCCTACTTTCAGTCCATATACACCGCGACTCCAAGCCCTCCTTTGCAAGCTCCTCTGCAAGCTGCCCCGCCCTCATTTTTCCCCCAAATAAGCTCACACTTTACCTGCTTGCTTGCGAGGGAAATTTCTGACGATGAAGTCTTGCGTGCCTTGAAGGAAATGGGACCCTTAAAAGCGCCTGGTGTGGATGGGCTCAATGTTTTGTTCTTTCAAAGCCAATGGTCGACGGTTGGAAAATCAGTGTGTCACCTGCTTAGGGGGGTATTTAACGGCGGGGCTCTGCCAGCTGAAATCAATAAAACGCTTATCGTACTCATCCCCAAGATTGACCAGCCTGAGACGATTAAACATTTTCGACCAATAAGCTTGTTAAATGTGGTGTACAAGTTGTTGACTAAGGTTCTTACCAACCGAATGAAGCCGCTTCTTCCGAGTTTAATTGGACAAGCTCAATCTAGCTTTATACCCGGGCGACAAATCCACGATAACATTATTGTGGCCCAAGAACTAATACATTCGATGAGGACTAAATCAGGAGCTCGAGGGTTCATGGTGGTGAAAGTCGACCTAGAGAAAGCTTACGATTTTTTGAGGTGGGACTTTGTCGAGTCTACACTTTATATGGCCGGTTTCCCGCCGAATTTTGTAGTTGCCGTAATGAAATGTATTACATCAGCTTCCATGCAAATCTTGTGGAATGGAGTGCCGAGTGAGGAGTTTAAGCCATCGAGGGGGGTTCGGCAAGGGGATCCTATCTCCCCGTATTTATTTGTTCTTTGCATAGAACGGCTAGCGCATGCTATTCAACGGGAAGTGAGTGGCGGCCGATGGCGACCTATCTCGGTTGGGCGGGGCTCATTGAAGGTCCCGTATTTACTCTTTGCGGATGACCTTCTACTGTTTTTGGAGGCTTCGGCTGACCAAGTAGTTAAGCTGAAGGAAGTCCTAGCCACTTTTTGTAAGGAGTCGGGCTTGAAGGTGAGCGAATCAAAAACCAATATTTTTTTCTCTAATAATGTCGGTTTACAAGAACAACGGGCCTTATCGAGGATGTTGGGATACACATTGGTGGAGGATCTCGGCTATTACCTGGGTGTCCCTATTATTCACGGTAGGGTCAATGGCCAGACTTATGGGAGAATAATTGAGAAAGCAGAATCTCGTTTGTCGGGGTGGAAAGCGACATCGTTATCCATGGCGGGCCGTGTTGTTTTGTCGCAAGCGGTCATTAGCTCCCTCCCTTACTTCACCATGCACTCGTCTTGGCTGCCAAACTCTATATGTAATGAACTGGAAAAGCGTTGCAGGCGATTTATCTGGGGGAGTACGGCCGATAAACGTAAAATCAGCCTCGTCAAATGGGAGGAGTTGTGCACGACAAGAGACCAAGGGGGTCTGGGACTGAAACGACAAAGAACCATGAATGAGGCAATGCTCATGAAGCTCGGCTGGAGATTTTTAACTAATCAAAAGGCGTTATGGATCCAAGTTTGGAAAGCTAAATATGGAGATAATCCTTTCGTCGACAATAGAAGATCGGCTTCGGTGGTTATGCAGTCCGTAAGGAAAGTCTGACGCCATGTAGCAGCTGGGGCTCAGTGGGCCGTGTGTGATGGAAGCTCAGCCCGTTTTTGGACAGATAAATGGCTTCGTTCGAATATAATCTTATTGGATGTGGCGTATGGACCAGTCCCGCCAGAACTACTCAATCAAGCTGTACATTACTTCACCTCTGAGGAGGAATCCAAGAGCATATTACTTATTTGATGCAAACACTTACACCGCCCAACCATACTTAAACGGGCCAACCCTAGCAGGTTTCGGGCTAGCCCTAGCGGGCTTCGGGCTAAAGGTCTGACCTTAAAAAGCCTTGATTTAAAGGAGCTACTAATAAAGGACCATGACCCTATTTTTTCCAGGCTAAACGGGTCGACTCATCGGACGAATGACCATTTAACATATGTACTTATACTATTTGAACATCATTCATTACAATTTACGCAATTAATATAGTGATTCGTATATGGTTAAATAGTTAACTATTATTTACTCTAATGGTGAAATAAATGTAATACAATTATCTAACTTATAGTTTAATACTATACACATACATATAACTTATAATATTTTAGTTATCTGTGTATGTGTACATACTCTAATTGTTGATTGAATTTAAAAGTTTTGACTAGCTGGTCTGATTAGCTATACATTACCAACTATTATCATGAAAAAATTATAATTTAATTGAAATAAACCATTTTTTAATATTTCCCTCTAAATCACTCGGGTCGGGTCTACCCATATCCAGAAGGGTTTCAACCCACGGGGCACCATAGCCCGCCCCATAAATCGCCATGAGTCACGAGCTTCAAGCAAAATAGCTACCTACCGTAGTCCCACCACGAAGGGCAGAGACGGCGAAGAAAAAAAATGGGGATTGAATCATCGGGAGAATGGTTGGAGAAAGCTTTAATGGAGCTCTGCAAGAAGATCGAGACGGGCCTCGATTTGGATGGGGAAATCATAACGGGCCTCGTCTCCTACTGCGAGATGGCTTCCCCACTCGACGCGAAAGAGTATCTCGATGTGAGTAAACTGTTTGTTCCCTTCATATTTTGTGGTGTTGGGTTGCTTGGTAGTTGCTGTGTTGCTGTGTTTTTACTGTACATATGTTGTAATTTCTGCGGTGAGATTGGTGGGCTCTTCAGCGTTAATGGAATTTTGTCGTGGATTTTGTTAAAATTTGCTGTGTTGCTGTGGTTTATTTATTGTGTATAGGTTGAAATTTCTACTGTGTGATTGATGGGTTCTTCGATGTTTATGGAGTTTGATTGCGGATTTTGTTGAAATTTAGGTGTATGCAGTATGCACACAAGCTGTGGCTCTGTGAAAAAAAAAAAAANAAAAAAAAAAAAAAAAAAAGTATAAAGGAGCATGGAGTTTTTAGGTCTTAGTATGCCTTTTGTTGGTGATGATAGGTAGTTTAAGGTTCTGATATTATTATAGGAAGTTGGATTTTCGTGCAGTGTGTGGAGACTCAGAGATTTATATTGCGATTGTATTTACATATGTTCTTGTGTCGTGTACAGTAAGCGTGGGGAGCTGTAAGATGCCTCTTAATGTTTGCATGTTCTGATGCTGCTAGAAAATGGTTCTTAGTGTTTGTATTCATTATATCATGTGCGCAATGCTCGTTAACATTGTTATATGCCAATTAACGGAGTTATGTACGGCCCATTTGAAGTCCGACCGAGTACTCAATTTATCTTTCTGAGTTATGTAGACTATTTTGTTAGTTTATAACATGTGATAAATCCTTTTTACAATGAGTAATGTAGATTAACAATTAGCCTAGCGCCTGGAGGTGAGGAGAGCCTGGAGATGTAGAGTTGTTCCCTAACTAGATATATTTTCTACATTGGTAGATATAGCCTATCTTTATGCATTGCAATGGTATCATAGGGAAGAAAGTGGAAAATGGAGCTCAATCGACATGATTGTTTTATTCTTTCTTAGTAATGAGTTTCATGTGCTCAAGATTTTGATTCAATAGAGTGTATATATTCGACCCACCCTAATATGAAGGTGCTAAAACTTTTATACATATAAATTAAAACTTAAAGCACTACGTGTTTAGCAATTTCGTTTAGCAATTTTCATGCTTATAAGGTATACATGATGGAGATCTGTGTATCATACAGAGTATTGTTAATTTTCACCTACTGCATTAAAGATTTGGTCATGAATTTGCCTGCTGAGGAAAGTGTTTTCATAAACCTCATGCGGCCTCAAACATAACACCCTTCTTACGTGTCACTCTCGTGAATTGCTTGCATCTTCATGACACATTGAATCACAACAATCTTCAAGTTAATTCGATTTCTGAGTTCTGGCTTATATTTATATTTACTCAGCCGTGATTTGAGGCAATAATGCTACTTTTATAAATCCTTCATCCATGATCCAACCAAATAGAGTGAAGATCACATATTTTGAAGAACAAAGAAAAATGGATCTTATTCTCAAAAATCTTGTTTATCTTTGTCAGCTTCATCACTTTATGTTGCTATCTGGCATATCTTCTGGAGTTCCTTTTTCATAATAATAATTATTATTTCTATTATTAATGTATTTTGCAAATATTGCAGAACATCATTGGAGAAGTTGCTGGCAAAACTGTAACCGAAGAGTATTTGAAAAGGAGAGGTCACTCGACAGTCTCCAACACCCACGAACAATATGCTCCAACAACATCTAATCTCCAAGCATATGTCAAACCACGTGCAGACGAGGGTACAATCCCGGCTAAAAAAACACACAAACCGCCAAAAGAAGCCAAAGCCATGACATCCGAACCTCAAAACATTCATCCTCCTCCCACAAACCGTAAAAAAAAATCAGGGAAAGTCGTGTCTCTAGCCGAGGCCGCAAAAGGGTCGATTGTATTTCAGAAAGGCAAGCCGTGTTCATGTCAGGCTCGTCGGCACATGTTGATCAGCAACTGCTTGTCGTGTGGGAAGATAGTGTGTGAGCAAGAGGGCGAGGGGCCGTGCAGTTTCTGTGGGGCCCTCGTGCTGAAGGAAGGAAGCACATATGCTGGTCTGGACGAGGGTGTGATGCTAGTGACGGATGCTGAGGCTGCTGCCGAAGCTTATGCGAAGAGGCTCGTCGATTATGACCGTAACTCTGCTGCTCGGACGACGGTTATTGACGACCAGAGTGACTATTATGAACTTGAGTCGAACACCTGGCTCTCGAATGAGGTCTGTTTGGTTTTAAATTTTCAGTACCCGTCACAAATGTTGCTTCATTGAGAAACAAAAAGATAAAATAATGTTAAACTAAAAGTAAAAAGAATAAGTAATCCCGAGCACAAAATAATGAATGCTAGACGGTTTTGATTAATAAAAATATTAGCCATTTTGACTTCAGCTGTCAATTTTTACCCCATTTTGTCTTCTATATATATTTTCTAGAAAACTGATATAAATAATGATTTGGCCTGAGTAACTCACCTGATATGCGAGGAAGGTTTGGCATTCATATCTTGGTCAAAATGGAAAGGAACATATTGATTTCTATGAAATAGTATGGCCAATTTGACGTATTGACCCTTGATTTGTGAACTAATATTATTAATATACTCGGACATTTCTTTTGTCACAGGAAAAAGAGCTTCTGAGGAAGAAAAGGGAGGAGTTGGAAGAAGCTGAACGGGCCAAGAGAAGTAAAGTAGTAATGACAATTGATCTGCTTGGCCGCAAGGTTGCTTCTTGTTGTAAAAAAAAAAAATAAAAAACTGTAAAAGTTTCATGTTGTCCTCAACGTTACATTGTCCCGATTCTTGAAATTCATCAAATTCATCAGACAACCTTGAAGAAGAAGGAGATAACTAGAAACGATGAATTGATGATGTTTCTGCTTTTCTTTTTGGTTAATAGACTACTTGAAAAGTAAGAGTTACTGAGGTAAAAAACCATGCTGAAGTGTGCCTCTGTATATTGCAGGTGCTGTTGAATGAAGACGAAGCTTCTGAAGAAATGCAAAACAGTATACTGCTTAGACCGCCCGAGGAAAGAGAAGAAGTTCGCATCAAGCCAAACCCGAATCTTAAAATTCAACCAGTATTCATCGACCCGGGTCCTAGAATAGCCGCCAAGGAGAAAAGTTTAACCACCCTAAGCTCTGGCTTGTGCTTGGAGATAAGTGGGAGGGTACAACATCGCACTAACGAACTGGATATCTTGTGACGAGTCACTTGAACAATTCTTCGGATGACCGTTATTTTACTTCTGGAGTTTGTCTGAACTGTGCATGAGGCTATAATTTTAGCACAACTTGAAGCTGACTGGCTATGTTTCTGTGTGAGATTGTTTGGGATTCTGTCTGGATTTTAATTTGCTGAACATCATTTATAATTTTATATTGATAGAAAATATGCTCTGCTTGTATGATTATGTTTTTCAAATGTTTTGTCATATATAAAAGTTGTTCAAATCTATATGCTACGTGAAGTCTGGACAAGTGCTCAACTCATATATAAGATGCCTATCTCCATTCAATTTATCCACATTAGAGTGGTTATATGTTTGTTCAGAGTCCAAAATGTATTGTTGTGTGTAATCCGAGTCAACAAATATTCTATGTATTGATTTTTGAGAAATGATATAGGTACATAATATTGTACATACAACTCACTTTGAGTGGGACTGATCAAAAATAAAAAATCAAGTGGACCGCACTCCATGTGTACTTGTAACATTTTTCTTGATATTTACACTCCATGTAAATGACTTAGTTATTATGTACTTGTAACATTTTTGTTGACATTTACACCACATGTAAATGACTTAGGGCTGAGATTGGGCTTATGGTACTTAAGTTTAGGTTTAAGCTTCTTTTGGATAAGTCGAGTGTTGACTCAACTAGATTAGTCGATAACGTGCTCGAACTCGATTTATTTGCTAGTTGGATTAAAACATTGATGAGTGTTTAGAAAAATATGTAAAACATACATTCTCAAGTTTTAGGGGTGTAATTTCGAGAATTATTGGATTTGAGACTTTTATATCTTGAGATTTCGGAGGAATCCGGTAACATCTTAAGTCATGGAGGTGTGACTTGAAGTGAGATTCTTCATATATGGTTTTTCTTTTGAAATCTTAGCAAATCTTAAAAAGTTGAACATTTGTCAGTTTCAAATTAAAGTTATACCTTAAAATTTTGTAATACTTTTTAAAATTTCAAATGAATACTCCAGACTTTTAAAAGTATTTAAGTCTTAAAAAATTATGAATTAAATAGGCCTAATTGCTTTAAAAACTCTGACCTTGTATAAATTGTAAATAAATTTCAACTTTTTTAAGTTAGCCATTAAATTTTCAACTTTTTAATTGTGTTGCATGTTAAGCTCCGATTGGTTTTCCGACATCCTCTTTGCTGATGGTTGTTTATGTCTTAAAATATATGTTGGTTTTCCGACATCCTCTTTGCTGATGGTTTTTATATCTTAAAACATGCATATATTCATTTCACTTCATAATTTCTTCATTTCTTCTACACTCACCAATTCCCTAATTTTCCCTCTGCAACACTAAATTGAGATTTGTGGAATGTTTGTTGTTCTCGTCGCTCCTGCTGTTGAGATTGGCTCTCAATTTTTCTAGCTCCTCAAATATGGGGATGAAAAATCTTGATTTAGGGTTACAAAGGGAAAACAATTGAGAATTGGAGTGTATAAGAAAGGCAGAAATTATGAAGTGGAAATGTAGATGTGTGTGTTTTAGAACATAAAAAGCCACGTCGGTTTGTTGATGGGACATACATCATCACTTCGTCAGACAAATCAATAAGGAAGAGGTCAGAAAATCAATCGGAGCTTAACATGCAATACCATTAAAAAATTGAGATTTTAATGATAAACTTAAAAAAAATGCGAGATTTGTTTGCAATTTAGTAAATGCCAGAGTTTCTGAAGCAATTAGGCCAATTAAATACAATAGAATTTCAAAAGATTTTTGAAATTTCAAACATCGAATTCCAACATCCCATATCAGAAGATGGAGATAAATTTGCTTGCAAGAGTGATTCTTTTATTTTTCTTTTGAATCGATTGAAATATTAAATTAATTTTTTTCTATGTGTCCCTTTTCCTTCTAAATTCTATGTTTTTTTTAGTTTATTAATTATTCTTTAATTTGGAACAAATCAGAAATCAGTAGTGATGTAACTGTATATTGAGGAGGAGATGTTAGATATCACTTGTGAGTTGTCAATATTGATCCTATAGGAAAAATGAGCCTAGTATATAAGCATAGTGAGCTACTTCTCTCATCACCAATTGGTTTTAGAATGGAATCTCACTAAGGTGCATCTAAGCTCACTCTCTTATGATGCACTTCATCTGATGGGACCGCACCCTTTTTCCCCGTTTCTAATATGGTATCAGAGCGGGCATGTCCTAGGACCTACAACGACTCTCTACCCGGCCTGCCCTGGACTTATGCTTATCTCTCTACCAGGCATGCTCAGTGGGCTTGGGCTTATGAGGATTCACAAGTGAGAAGGTGTATTGAAATATCAGTTGTGAGTTGTCACACATTGTTTCTATAGAGAAAATGAACCTAGTATATAAGTTTAGTGAACTATTCCTCCCATCACCAATTAATTTTGTGAGTTGTTCCACGTTGTTTTTCCTAGTTTCCTTGCATAAAAGAGAAGAGAATGAGAGTTTGTGTTTAATCATATTTCTTATCACAAAATTGCATATATATATATATATTTTATTTATTTCCACCTACTACTCCACAACATACTCACAAATAACACTAAAAATAATATAATTAACAAACAAATAAATAAATAAATAAATTATTATTAGCACCGAAGTTCAGATAATCAGATTGCTTTCTCAACACTACTGTGCCTCTCTTAGGCCAACACTCGTCAGCATTTTGTCCCTATCACTCAACACTTTTTAACCATTCTCTACGAAACTAAACTCGCATCTACACACAGAAGGCCGACTGAGAACAATAGAGAGCAAACCCACTTCTTATTTCAAGAAAATTTCTAAACTTTTTAATAAATATTTATTTTCTCGGTCTTTCACACCAATTCTTGAGTGACAATTTTAGGGACATGGGTGGATCTGGAGCTGTTAGCTTCCTTAAAGTGGTGGCCAAAAATTTCGATGTTCTTGCCGGGTAAAATCATCTCTTCTCGATCCCATTTGCCTTATTTGTGGAAATTAAGGATTGGCTTCACTTATTTTTGTGTATTTTATCCAAAATTGGTTGGTTTTTTTTTTATATGTATTTGGGATTTGGGTTTCTTGCAGTAAAGATTGAAACTTTACTGCAATAAAAAATCATCTCTTTTCGATCTCAATTGAATTTCTTGCAGTAAAGATTCAAATCTTTTTTTTTTTTCTGTTATTTGTTTGTACTTATGATTTATTTGGTGTATTATTGGTTCTTTTGCAGGCCTGTGGTTAGTCTGGTTTTTCCTCTGTGAGTGGGATTATATTTCATTTCTTCCATGTTTTTTAGTTGCTATAACTGTAATTTAGTTGTTTTTTTGCAAAAAAAAAAAAAAAAGATTTGATTTTTCTTTGTAGTAGTGATTGATTTGATCTCTTTGGTAACTGATTTGGTGATAATATGGGTTGATGGTGGTGGCATTTTGAGAATTTCGGCAGATATGCGTCGATTAGGGCTATCGAGACAAAATCGCCTGTTGATGATCAGCAATGGCTCACTTATTGGGTTCTTTACTCTATGATTACCCTTTTTGAGCTTACTTTTGCAAAGCTTATCGAATGGTAATTCTTCTTTTTTTTTTCCTCGCCGTTTTTTCGTTTCCGGGTTTTTATGCTGTTGTCCTTGTAGTCGTTATAGTTCTTTGATTGTTTTCCTATTTTGTTGGTTGCAGGGTTTATTAAATTAGTGTATCTTCTATGTCTAGTATGTAGTGTGGTTGCTTATTGAGACATATTTAAACAAATTTTTGATAAAAAAACTGTGCTTTTTCGAAGTATAATGAGAAAAATTGTTCATTTTGGATATTGAATCAATAGAACTTTTGGAGAATAATTTGGAGCTAGGAAATTAATTCTTGTTGTATAAAGCTTGTTTAGGACTCGGCTGGGATGTAAATAGTAAATACCCATTAAATCATATGTCATCTAGCTTGCTCGTCGTTTATTTGCTTTCTAAGCTATTCGAATAAGAAAAGTGACACCCCTTTTTATTTTCGCCATGGTTTATTTTATTTGTCGTTTAGTCATCTGAAACGCGTTTCAATCATAGGTTACCTTTCTGGTCTTACATAAAGCTAATCTTCACCTGCTGGTTAGTCATACCGTACTTCAGTGGAGCTGCATATGTTTACGAGCAGTATGTTAGGCCTTATTTGGTTACTCGGCAAAAGACAGTCAATATCTGGTACGTCCCAAGGAAGAAAGATATGTTCAGCAAGCCGGATGACATTCTAACGGCTGCAGAGAAGTACATCCAAGAAAACGGACCCGAAGCATTCGAGAAGATGATTAACAGGGTATATGATTTTTTGCTTCTTTATCTTTAAAATAAGGTTTGGTGTTTCAATTGCATTATGTTCTTTTCGTCGCCTTAGGTTTTGTATGGAGATTTTCATGTCTGTCTGATTTCTTTTTTTTTTATTATTTTTAATCCAGTCGAGAGAAACTACTACCCGGACCAGCAAATACACGTTTTATGACGATGACTATAGATATGAGGAAGACTACAGGTACTGATCATGGCGAATTTTTTTACGTCATTTTGTGAAGAACGGCCGGTAGCTTTGTCGATACGCTGTGTAATATACTTTCGAAACTTTATAGTTTTTTAGATATCCTGTTTTCTAATCATCTAATGTACGCCACTAGTTTTCGAAGCATGAAAATGTTTCTTTGTGTGGGTGGCGATTTATCGTTTATCGTTTGAGAAGTTTCGAGATGTAATGTTTGTTTGTTGTTCCAGCTTCGCCTATTTGGGGACTAATAAATGTTATGTATATTCAAAGGACGATAGTTGGGTTTGTATTCAAGCTCGAGTGGAGTTCGAGCTGTGTGGTGCGCAAGCTTAAAAGTGGTTGACGAGCCGTTTGAGTGAACACACGATTACCTAAATACACTCTAGTTCGTGCCAAATTCAAACATCATTATTATTAGACATTCTTTTTAATTAAAACTTTGAGTCGGTGTCTCATGCGTTCGCTTGCTTTTTTTTTTTTTTGTTGGTTGAACTCCACCGAACCTTGAAATGCTTGGCTCGTCTTTATCAGCTTAAAGAAAATCGGGCTAGTAAGAATTTGAGCCTAACTCAGATAAGATCAATGCGCGACCCGACTTTCCTCGACTTCCCTAGGTTGGATTGGTTTGGTTTGCTCCATTTATGAGAAAAAAAAAGGGGTATTTCGTGGATGATAAAACTGTGGACTCCAAAACAAGGTTCAAAATTGAAAAAAAAAAAAAAAAATACAAATAATAAAATATTTATTTTAAGGGGCATTCCGAGAATTGAACTCGGGACCTCTCGCACCCTAAGCGAGAATCATACCACTAGACCAAATGCCCTGCTCGTTTACTCGTCTAAACGAAGGTATCTGTAAACGATTATAATAAACTCGTTTGAGCCAACTGCGAGATAGAATCTGTACTGAGTTTTAGTTTGGACCCAATTTTATGTTGAAGTGTTCCTAACATTAGTTTCATTTCATAACATCAAACATTTCAAAATTTTACTCTTAAAATTAGAAATGTTACATTTCCAAGGGAGTAGTTCTGCCCAAACCTCATGTGGACCGATAAGACAAAATCAAACATTCTTAGGAGTTCGAGCTCGACTCGACTCGTTTATAGCTCTATGAACATTTGCGACACGTGTTTGTCACTAATGATTTGCCCTATGGTCAATGTTCGAAAGCCACCATGATTTCATTTCTTGCTTGGCTTGATTAGTGACTCTTGCTATTATTAGTTGCTTAAGTACACGTCTATTGATCCCCCAATATGGGAGAGACAGATAAAAATGGGCTAATTATAGTGTGGCGATAACTTAGAATGCATAGTATTTCAAGGCATGCTTGTGACCAAATTTGTGGCTTGACCTTTCCACCAATTTCGTTCTCTTAAACATCTCTCCATTTTTCCTTTTCGTGGATCTTTCTTTCTTTCTCACACATTTGCAGTGTGTTTTGTTTTGTGCTATTCTCATTCAACACTCGTAAGAAAACAAAGAATGTGATTGGTGATATGAAAATTGATCGAAACCATGACAACGCACGATGCTCTTTTTCGCACGGGTTTGAAGTTGTAGCATGGGCAATTGCCTCCTAAAGAACAATCAAGTACTGTTGGAAATCGATGAGGTTAGAAACAACTCTCAAGAATACATCCGAAGGGAGGAAGATCACGTCGGATGGCATAATAAAAAAACTGGTTTAGTTTGTTCTATAAACAACGAGGCTAACCACGCTGCGTTTCAAAATCATCAACGTGTGTTCGAATTTGACGAGAATATTGAGATGGATGAATTTCATAATAGACAACCTTTACATCAACCCCCACCTCTAGGTACAATCTCTCACTCTCTATCTATGATTCTATATAAGTAACGAATTAAAGAACTCGGATTTCTTTCCACATTTGGTCTCAAAGGAGTGTCCATAACTCTGTTTAGACAGGGCTTTCCTTATATATTTACAAATTTCTTAGGTTTACTTAGTTTCAGCAAGTGTGTCGAGGTAGTTCTTGTCTAATAACGGAGATAGATAGAGGTTCAATCTACCTATACCATGCCCGAGTGATGTTTACAAACCAAAGGACTGATCTTTCATGTGTCGAACCACGATTGCCCTAGAGTTCATGATTCGAAACAAATAAATGCAATTGATGAATTTCTTTTGACAAACTTTAGTTATGAAAGAATCGAAGAAAATGGGTACGGTCCAATGCACGTGAAGCACAACAGAAGAGAGTGAGCTTTAATGCACCATAGTGAGGTTCTATCAAAAACTAAGTTCTTTCATGGTATCAAGGGGGCCTTCATGGGACCAACGATAACATACCGATTTTCCTCCGATTCTTAAGTGGTATCATAGCGGGCCCACGTAGGACCTACGATGACGTACTTATTACCTGGTCTACTATGTGGGCTTGAGCTTCATATGAAGGGCTCAGAAATGAGGAGACGTATTAGAATATCACTTATGAGTTGTCCCACATCGTTTATATATTGGTAATAGGCCTCACTTAAGCCTAGTGAACTACTCCTCTCATCAACCAATTAGTTTTGGGATAGAAATCCACTAAGGTGCACCTAGGCTCACCAACTTATAGTGCGCTTTATGTGCATGATACCGCACTTGTTTCCCCAATTCTTTCAAGTTATATATTGTACTTTTCATATCTCATGATCTAACTAACTAACTAACAAAGTTTCTTTTCTCTTTTTTCAGCTTTCATGGAAAAAAACATTCAAAGGAGCCACCCATTACCAACCCCAAATCTTCCACCACAATGGCCCCAACACCACACAAATTCAATCTTGCCATTGCCAAGGCAAGAACTAACACATAACCCTAAACACGAAGAGTCGAGTTCGATTTCACCACAAATTGTTCTATCAAATGCATCGGAAAGCGAGATACTCTCATCCCCATACCTAAAGCCATTTTCACTATCCTTACTTAGAAATGCCACGTCAAACTTTAGTGAGGATTGTCTACTCGGGGAAGGTGGGTTCGGGTGTGTTTACAAAGGATGGTTGGATGTCGAAACCTTAAATGCCGCAAGACCGGGATCGGGCTTACCCGTTGCTATCAAGAGGCTTGTACCTTATGGCTTCCAAGGTCACAAAGAGTGGTTGGTTAGTCTTTTTTTTTTTTTTTTTTTTTTTTTTTTTTTTTTCAGAATTGATGGTTGCTAACATACAAACATAAACAATGCGCATTGATCATCGATCGTCGTTTGATTCTATTTTGTGTTTCATTTCGAGATTTGTGTGGTAAAAGCAAGAAAAAAAAGGGGATGAGAAGTATTGGTATATTATTTTATAGTGCTAGTACATACATTTTTTTTCAAATTTATTCCCTCCATATTTCCCCTTTCTTGATTGGTTACTACACATGATGATTTGATACAGTCAGAAGTGAACTATTTAGGTCGTCTTCACCATCCAAACCTAGTCAAACTCATCGGATATTGCATCGAAGGTGACGATCGGATTTTGGTTTACGAATATATGTCCGGTGGCAGCTTGGAGAAGCATTTGTTCAGAAGTAATTAGCCCTACTTTTTTTTTTATTTAAATCAAATTTCATATCATTTAAATCATGATTCTTATTGTTTAATTCCTCATAAATATCTAATAATTTCGCAGGACATTCTCCATCACTTTCATGGGTAAGAAGGATAAAGGTGGCTTTGGATGCGGCTCGTGGCCTGTGTTTCCTGCACGAGTCAGAGTCTCCCGTCATATATCGAGATTTCAAGACATCAAATATACTCTTAGATTCGGTAAGCCTATTGAATAATCGCGATACATAAGATAAATTCGCTTTTTCTAGAGTTATGTTGCAAAGTGCAAAACCAATCAAGACTTGTTTTTCACAAGATCTTACTTCCTAGCTAAGAGGTGCAATCATAGGCCTAACGGTTAGACAATCATATTTTTTCTACTTTCAAACTGAAATGTCATACTGTAAGAAACAACATAGCTAAAGTATGATAGTTCACAATCTAAGTATATAGTCGACCCGTCTAACGGTTAGGCTGTCTCACACAAGAATTTGTTCTAAGAGATGAGTTTTTTATATGGTCCAGGAATTTAATGCAAAGCTTTCAGATTTTGGACTGGCAAAAGCTGGTCCAACTGAATCTCAAACTCATGTATCTACAAGAGTTATGGGCACTCAAGGCTATTGTGATCCATGGTATCTGTCCACAGGTATATATACATTTATATATATCTTTGTACAATATTGGTTCATAAGTAGGGATGAGCGAAACAAAATCGAAACTAAAAAACCAATCCGAACCGCGCAATCTAGTCCGGTGAAGTTCAGTTTGGTTTCTTTGGTGTGAAATATTGTCATTTCAGTTACGATTCAATTTCTTTTTTCATACACCAAGGTGCAGTTTGGTTGTTATTTTCCACAAGTTCGGTTTTTTTGGGTGCACACCAAATTAAATATAAATGTCATGAGAAATCGAGGCAAAATCGATAATCGAGCCGAACCGTGCATTTCAATGCAGTTCGGTTAGGATTTTGTGGCTCGACGAGGGTTTTGCACCGAACCGCGTCGTTATCCACCACCGTAAAACCTATTTCTGATGAAATTATGCATATTTTCGAAAGATTGTATACATGGTTAAAACTTAAAATTGACCTAATAGAAGAAGTGCAAAACAAAAATAGAAACTTTTCGTAGGGAATGTATATACAACACGTCATCAAATGCTATAACTAACTCGATTATGCTTGATTTTTTAGGTAAGTTGACACTGAAATGCGACGTGTATAGTTTCGGTGTCGTGCTGCTCGAGCTGCTTACCGGGCGTCGTGCCATAGACGACACAAAGTGCCACGAAGAGAAGAACCTTGTGAATTGGGTAAAGCTTCATTTACATGACAATGGCAAGATTTTCAGGATTATGGACACTAAGTTAGAGGGTCAATATTGTAAGAGAAGTGCTTATGTTGCTGCAAATATCGCGCTGCGTTGTGTTAGTCACGAGCCTAAATATCGGCCTCCGATGACTTATATTTTAGAAATTCTGGAAAATCTTCCTTCCCATAAAAACCACCATCATCAAAATTGACAGAAAAAAAAGTATTTAAATCTTGTTAGTTATGTAGAGCTAACGGGTTAGATGAGTTGATTCATCGTAAATTTTGAATAAAAATGCATAATTGTATATGAAATGTCGTACTTTATTTGCGTTGTTTTTAAAAGTATGACATTTCAGTATGAAAATATGTATATCTGCTGAAAAAAACTGAAAAATTAACAAAAAATAAATAAAAAATGGGGTGAGAGAGGCTCGAACTCTCGACCTCAGGATTTCTCTTAAGCTATGAGACCTACGCGCTAGCCAACTGCGCCACCACCCCTTATGATACTTGGTCCAACGAAATATTTGAAGTCCAATTGCTAATTAAATTTGTTATTTGTTTTTCTCATCCGAAAAAGTCAACTTCGAAATTCAATATAAGAAATTATGGAATAATGATTGCAATTTTAATCATTTTTACATATAAAATTAAATGGCTGATTGTTAGACAGGCCCACACATATCAACTAATGTAAGCAACAATGTCAACTATCCTTGTAAAATAAGTCTATAAGTATAAGGAAATGATACGGTCCCGTTATGGAACCATTCCGTCATGAGCTTTAACCGTTGGATACACATGTAATTAGTATAAGATAGATGATCCAACGGTTAAAACACTCGACGGGATAGTTTCGTAACGGGACCATAACATTTCCCATAAAATCAAATGACACTGTATCATTTGAATGCAACTGTATTGCATTTTTGCATTTAGAATTTTAGATGGTAATAATCCAATAATCTCAACTCTAAGATCATTCAGTAAAATCAATCACTGATACATAGTTCTGATGGTTCAACCTTTAGGTAAAAAAAACTCTCCAAGCACACCACAAACTATATCATGATGCTTCAGACACAACAACAAACAATTAAAGTCGGTTTTTATCAATTCCAAAAGACAGAAAGATCCAATTCATGAATCTCTAATTTACATGACACAATAACTTAACAAACAGCTCGATAAACAACTCGAAACACAAGCGCGCCCCATAACTCGGCCCACAAGCTATGAGTTTTAGTCTGCTGTCCAGCTTTGCTCCACGATTTCCCTCACTCTGCGATTATACTCACGTTTGCTTTCACTGAACAAACGAGCAGCTTCGGAATTTGCTGGCGAATTCGGATTTGGGTCGCACAACAATGACTGTAACAGTAACAAAATGTAAGGGATTATTAGCAATTTCACACTTAGGACTAATAAAGAATCCAAGTGGATGCAACTTTTCAATTGGGTGCACTCAATTTCGGAATAGCAAAGCATATTAACTTTTAACTCGGGTAGAGTTTAAGGGAGGCTTGGATATAAGATTTTTTTGGTTTTGTTTGATTTTTTTGGTTAACCAGGGCTAATTTAAAAAAGTTGGTTGGGTAAGGTTTGAGTGAAATTTTGAGTTTGTATTGAAATAATATTTAAAATAACATAATTAAAGTTGATATGATAAAGAAAAGTAGGAGAGATTATGGGATGTGATAGTTAGTTAAAAGTATGTGAGTGGATGAATTGTGAATTAAAGTTGGTGTGATTTGTAAGGATAATTGATTGATATTATCTAAATGTATTGATAATATTGAAGATAGTGGGGTTGAGTTAAATTTGAGTTAGAAAAAGTGGTTGTGTTAAAAGTAAATTGATTTTTTAGAATTCTTGTATCCAAGCATGCTCATAGTAATAATCCAAAATCTCGAGTCTAGGAGAAAACCGATAAAATCTGACATATTCCTCAAAAAAGGTTACCAATTAGTCTCTTGACAAATGGAAGTGTTATTACAATTTACAAACCTCCAGCAAGAGGCCATAAGAAAACACCATTATTACCAATTACCATATATACTTTTGTTAAAGCCAAAAAAGAAAAAAATATAGTTAATGAATAACGTAATTTGGAAAATAACGCTTGTACCTGAATGGATGTCAGTATAGCAGCGGCATCATATATGGGACTCCACTGATTTTGTAAGATGTCCAAGCAAATACTTCCATCCGCATAAACTGATTGTAAGTTTTAAATGTAACAAGTTAGTTCACACAAATCAAACAAATTCAAGAAAGTAGATGTTTTTAATGACGTTGCATTACTGTTGGGATGAAACATTCGAGAGACAAATCGAACAGTCGGTGGCTTGTTTGGATAATCTTCTGTGAACTGCAGAGTCAACTTGAACGTACCTGTGCCACTCAAAACATAAGCCACGGCATTTAAATTTGAAACAGCCCAACATCCCTGACTAATAAATAAGATACACATCGAAGCATAAGTGCACAGAAAACTTATTGACTTGTGTTAACCCAATGAAAAATTAATGGAGGAATACAAAGCTTTTCACAGTGGTGCGCAAATTTTATCATACAGGATTCAGTTATCAAGCTAGTTTCATCTGGCGAGACGAAAATGCATAAAAGAGCACAATATATCACGCATTATCCTCTGATATGAAGAATATCTGACAAGGAAAGGAACATGTAAATTCTCTCTGTGGACATATTGCTAATTTGTCTTCCAAAAACGACTTTATCAAGTAAAAAATATTTATGCATTCTACAATAGTATAACATACAACTCATTCTATGCGAGTCCATTACTTGGTAATATAATATAAATCTAAATTTCAATATTACTTGTAAGGGAGATGAACACAAAAATCCAAAGCATGTGAGAGTATTGGATGGCATAAAAAGAGTATTGGTAATATATTAAGAGGGCTAAATGACTAACGTCAGATTCATTCAATGAAGCATAATCGATTAAATAGATAGATTAGGGGCTACCAATGACTACAAAAAGAGTTTGGCCAACGTCTTCCATTACTTGGTAATATAAATCTAAATTTCAATATTACTTGTAAGGGAGATGAACACAAAAATCCAAAGCATGTGAGAGTATTGGATGGCATAAAAAGAAATAACAAAAACAAATCAAAATGTTGGCTGGAATATGAAAGCCAAATGAATTTCAGAAAAAGAGATGAACAACCCCCAAAAATGCTTTCAGCTCCTACGCTTGAAGATATGAAGTCTTTCAAGAAGATGGATATACATTGAGGAACATAACATATTTCTAAATCAGAGTGGACGATTACCAGAATAATCTTATAAACAAGCCAATCAAAATTTAATAAATATAGTTTTCTGTAACATCAAAATTGAAAACACAAAACGAAATTCAAGTAGAGATAGTCAGATAACTTCTTCATATAAGATGCAGATGAAAAACCAGCAACAACTAATTATGTCATACAAGGGCACAACCACCACAACTTTCATTTAATAAATCAAACAGATACATATTCAAACAAAACTACAAACATGACCTTACAAAGATAAATGAAAACACATTTATATTTGAAAATGCCGGAGCTGTAGATCGACTAACCTCCATCCCAAGGTGTATCATCCGGACTGCAATCCACAAGAGAAAAGAAAGCATAAGATATCTTGTCTTACCCAACTATATATAAACATTTGCCACCATTAACATAAACACTCACACAAAATTCTTCAAATTCTCATAAAATCCCACTATTTCATGATAAAACCAAAGGATACTCACCCGAATATTACAGCATTCCAGAGCATAATATTATTGTCCTGCGGGGCACCGCTTATACCTGCAGGTGGGTCTTGCTGCAACCTCTTGAAATCCCTCATCAGCCTCTTCCGGGCTGGAGTCGACATCTTAAATTCCCTGATGATAGTAACAATTCACTCAAACCATTATCAAAATTCAACAATCAACACAAGCCCATATATTAGAACTTAACAAAAAGTAATATTTCCAGGCCATAACGAATCTAGGAACGAAAATCAATTCCATTAACAAAAGCCCGCAGCGTAATTAAACAAGATTTTCCCCAAAAACGCATGTTTGTAAAGAGAATTCACAACCCAAAAGCACCAAATTGAAGTAAACAACAAATAATTAAATGGGTTTGTCTAGGATAAGCAGCTATAGGATAAGCAGCTACAGTTTACAATTCGAACAAATAGCTACAGATTCCAAAGGAAACACTTCTTATTCAGCACAAAAAACCAACAATCAGCTCATTACGGATCATCCAATTACTATAAACACGAAATCCCACATCGTTCATACGCTAATTAAATACACAACGGCTCAAAAAATCCCCCAATCGCGATCCTGGATTAAAATTTTTCGAAAAAAAAAAGGTCAACTTTTTACAAACCCAAGAACGAGTTACAAGATAGATCGACCACGTGAATCAAGATAGGCAAACAAAGATATGATTATTGTGTTCACAAGTACAGAAAGAGACCTTTTTCAGTGAAGTTTCTGAAGGAGAAAGGGATTGACACTGTGAAGCGAGCAGGCACAGTAACGCAGATGAGCTGAAAATTATTTGTTTTGTATTTATTTGTGAAAAAAAAATCTCATTTTGGTAGCCTGACAGCTACGCTAAGATTTGCTTGATATCATTTTTTACCCTCTCAAAATACCGAAATATACAATTAAGTCCCCCTAGTGAGTCTAGTCTAGTTAAATTTTGTCTTAAAAGTTAAATATAGCTTTAAACTTTTTTTTTTGGGTAGCCAGCCATGGTTTCAGAGCTTTGCCCCGACTAATTCGTTGGTCGACCCGGGTCGCACACCTGACAGTGGTGGGTGAGTCTCCCAGCAAGAGTTTTCTACATTCACAAAGACTCGAACCCGAGACTTTGCTTAAGGGACATTAAGTTGTTTACCACTTGAGCCAACCTGATAGCTTTAAACTTTATTATACATTAATTTATTCTCCATTTTTCTTGTTGGCATGTGCTTAAATTTTTTAGCTATTTTATAGTAAATCAAAAGTTCTCTTACTATTGTGAGTGTTCATTTTCTTGTCTTTTTTGATTAGATATTGAATTTTCCGTTTGATTTATGCATGAGTTGGATCTTTTGAGTAGGGTTGTAGATTGATTGAATCTTGTCTTGTTATAAATTATGAATTATATTGTGATAATACTTGCGTCAAAAATTCTATGGAGCCATCGGATGGCTCCAACTATTTGTAAATAACGGTGGATGGCTCCATAAGCCAAGTCATCCGATGACTCCATAGCAAAACTGATACTTGCATATATGAAGTGCTTGGCGCAAAAAAATGTGCATTGATAATTTTTAGTATGGAGTAGATCTAATTGAAAATTGCCCATGAAGCTCGTTGTCATCACCCACGGAACCCGTTGTTTGACCACTCTTTCGCCAAGAAGAATTTCGACACGAGGCACACGGATCCACTGGTCTCGCCGGCTCCGCGGAGAACATGCCACACCAACCACATCGTAATTGGACTACCAACCGTAACTTTGATACCAGTTATTATGACCGACAACTCAAAACTCAGTTCTGCATCAAGCCCAACATACAAGCTTAAATGGAGTTTCATTCTAAAACCAATTGGCAATTGAATGAGTAGCACACCAAACTTATATATTTGGACTTAGAACCTTTAATTTTTCGTTGTGAAATTGGGTTTGCACACCCTACATTATGAAACAATTGGATATTTAGGTTCGATTACTTTAGTTCACACTTGTACAATATCAACTAATAATGTATTTTGTATGAAAAATTGGATATTTTAGTTTGATTATGTTAGTCCCCACCTATACAAGACTTATCCGAACGAATCATTGAGGTAATTAAATTAGTTTTTTGTGTCCTAGATTGATTTAACTTGTATACATTCAATTCGTGAATACATGAGTTATTTATTGAGTTGAATCACCTTGTATAATTAACTTTGTCATTTTTTTTGGCACTCAATTAACTTGTGTTAAATGTCTTAATTCTATTTTAGTCACCTATCACTCCCTACCTTGTTATATTGTTGTGATTTTATTTACTTTATGCATGCTTTATTAAATAATAAACTAACAATTTAACTCTTTAAAATTTAGCTAGCTAAAATAGCTTAAAACTTAATTTCCATAACTTATATTAGAATATGCTTATATGCAATTTATTACTCAAGTTCACTGTTTTTCAACCCGGACGGGCCCAGGCGGGTCGACCGGGACCCGGCCAACCCGGAGCTGGAACCGGTCCGGGTGGGTTATTTGGACCGGGTTAAGCACAAAGGCATATATGGATGCTCAACTATTATATCTCTTGTTTGGGAGCAATTATTTCAGAGAAAATCACATTATGCACCATCTTCAACAAACCCAATCATTGATTTCATAGTATTATGATTCAAACATTAGGAAAAGAAAGTCCCAAAAACCACCACAAAGTTCATTATAAATAGTTCCAAAGGAGATGCATAGAATTTCATGAAAAGCCAAATATTAGTAGATACAAAAGCAACCTTCTTGCAGCATATGGTTCTGATTTGCTTATCAAACAGCTTCATAAGAAATCGAACACACAAAGTGCTCACGGTCCATAAATCGGCGCACGCATCTATTGATTAGTCGGCGGTCCAGCTTTGCTCAACAATATCTCTCACTCTGCGATTGTACTCTTTTTTGCTCTCGCTGAACAAACGGGCAGCTTCGGAATTTGCGGGAGAATTTGGATTCGGATCGCACAACAATGACTGTAGCATAAACGAAAAATGTAAAAGATTAGCTTTATTCTTAGCCACATTTTTTGGTGATTTAAGTGCAGAAAAAGGGCAAAAACGCATTTTTAGCCTTCCTGTTGGTTTAACGACATAGCAATTTTAGTCCTAATGTTCCAACTTCAAGCTTTTTTGTTCCTAAGATTTAACATTTGGCTACAATAAATTACATAACTGAAATTACAACAAAATTTTAAATTACAGGACTTCAATTGCTAATCGAAAATATGTGAATTTGGGAATTCGTTGCAATCAATCCTCAAGTCCAATTGCAGCAAAATATTAAATCACATGACCAAGGCGAAATATTGGAACATTGGGACTAAAATTGCTATAGGTTAAACCAACAAAACTAAAAATGCAATTTAGCCCCCCCGGAGAAAACACCAAATTGAAAAGTTAAAATTTACAACCACGAGGTTGAACACTTGAACGTTAAACACAACTTCATAGCCAAACTCTCAACTCTCAAGTATCATAAAAAGCTCAGTATTTATTAATTCTTCCGTTTTACAACTTACGCGAAGATTCTTCACAAATACCCCTCTACAATTTGTCACCAAAAATAGGCCCAAACGAAAGAACGTGAGTACCAAATATTTATGCAGCAATTAACACCAATCTTACATAAAATAAGAGCCATGAGTTAAGCAACACAAAAATGTCAATCTACATATCACACACACGCACACACACAAAAAAA